TCGGCGAGGGCGCGACGTGTGCGTCGCGCGAAGAATCGGTCCGCGCGCGCGGCGGCGACGCGGCCGAGCTTCGCGTCGTAGACGACGGCGATCCATTCCGCGAACGCCCGCGAGGCGCGCGCGCGTCGCGTCCGTCTCGTGAACGTCTCGACGACGCGACGACGCGTCCGCTCCTCCGAAACGCGCTCGCGCCAGGTGTTAAACCCGGCGGCCAACGCGCGGCGCGCGCATCGCGCGATGGCGACGCGCGCGCGCCTCGCGCGACCCGCCGCCTCCGTCCACCGTCGAAACGCGCGCGACGCCGCGCGCGCGGACCAGCGCGCGATGAACTTCCGCGCGACGCCCCCGAGGCGTTTCACCTCGACCGCGCGCGCGCGCCACTCGAGAAACGCGAGGGACGACAGGCGCCGCGCGACGTGCGCGTTTCGGCGCTCCGCGCGTTTGAGCGCGACGGCGCGCGCGCTGCGGTCGCCGACGACGTCCGCCCACCGAGCGAACGCGCCGCGGAGGCGCCGCGTCGCCGCCTTAATTTCAAACGCGCGCGTCTTCGCGCGCGCGCGCTTCTCCCCCGCGACGACCGCGCGCCACGCCGCGCACGCGGCGGACGCGACGCGGTGCTGGAGGTGCGCGTTTCGGCGCTCCGCGCGTTCGAGCGCGACAGCGGACGCCTTCGCCTCGCGAATCGCCTCGGTCCATCTCGAAAACGCGCCTCCGACGACGCGCCTCGTCGCCCTTCCGCGGAGGCGCGCGCACGAGACGCGGACGCGGCGCTCGCGCGCGCACGTCTCGGCCCACGCGTCGTACGCGCCCGCGAGCGCGCGAGCGCGGCGGCGCGCGTCGAACCTGGCGAAGGCGCGAGCGCGCCGGCGGCGCGAGACGACGACGTCGCGCCACGCCGCGAACGTGAGACGCGCGAATGAACGCGTCGCGCGATGAAAGCGCGCCGCCGCGCGAGCCTCCGCGCGCGCCTCCTCGGCGACGCGGCGACGCGCGGTCTCTTCCTCTTCCTCGCGAATTCGCGCGGCGTCGACGGCGCGAACGCGCGAAATCTCTTCCTCGCGCGCGACGGCCGCGCGCGCCGCGAGCGCTTCTCGAGTCTCCGCCCGCCAGCGATGAAACGCGCGCGTCGCCGCGGACGCGTCTCGAAACTTCGACGACCACGCGCACAGGGACTCCCTCAGCGCGCGTTCCTTGACGTCGCCCACGACCGCGGCCCACGCGCGGACGACGCGTCCGAGAGCGCGAGCGCTTAAGCGGCGCGTCAGCGTCTCCGCGCGCGCGTCTCGCGCCTTTGACCTCTCCGCGCGCGTTCGCCACGAGGCGAAGAGCTGAGACTTCCATCGTCGTCGGACTCTGCGCGAGAGCCGCTCCGCCCACACGTTCGCGATGGCGAACGCGCGCTCCCGCGCGATGCGCGCGTCCTCGACGCGCTTGATCGTCTCTGCGAGCTCGCGCTCATGCCGTTTCGCATCCTCGAGCGCTCGCGTCCACGCCTGGAACGCGAACCGGCGCGCGCGCGCGAGGTGCTTCTCTCGCGTGCCCTCGGCGCGGCGCTCCGCGACGGCGAGCCTCGCCGCGAGCGCGTGCGGCCGGTTCAACCTCCGCTGGCACTCGAGCATCCACGCCATGAACGCCCTGCCGCGCATTCGCCGCTTCCCGAGCGCGTCCACGCGCGCTTCGACCGCGCGGCCTTTCGCGCGGAGGGTCACGAACGTCGACCACGCGCGCATCGCTCTCGACGCCAGGCGGACGAAGCCGCTCATCGCGTCGAGCGCCGCGACCCAACGCGCGTACTCTCTCCAGCCCGCGAAACAGCGACGTTTCGTGTCGTACCCGCGGCGAACGATGGAGAGTAACACGAACCGTCGCGACGACGACGCGTGGCGGTGGTGGTCGAGCCACGCGACGAACGCGCGTCGCGCGAGCGCCGTCAGCGATCGGCGCATCAGGCGCTCGGCGCGTCGAAGCGTCGCGCGCGCCGCGCGCTTTCCGTCGGCGACGTCTCTCCACGCGCGCACGCACCGCGATTCGCATAACCCGCGCGCGCGTCGAAGGACGCAGTCCTCGCGCCGCGTCGCCGCGACGACGTCGCGCCATCGCCTCCAGGACGTCCGCGCCGCACGCGCCGCGCGCCACCTCGCCGCGATGGACGTCTTCTCCTCCTCAGCGGCGCTCATTTCGGCGCCTCTCCTCCACGCTCGAAACGCCGCCGCCTTCTTCCGGAACGCCGTCCGCGCCTCGTGCCTCTCCGCGCGCTCGCTCGCCGCGCGCGCTCGCTCGCGCGCGTCCGCGACGACGGACGCGCATTCGCGCCACGTGCGCAACGACTCGCGCAGCGACGCGCGCGAGCGTCGCGCCCACATCCGCCGTAACGCGTTGGCGCGGTAAATGACGCTGCTGCTCTCCGCGTCGCGCGCGCGCAGCGACGCCGTCGCGGTGATGTGCCAGAACCGCACGACGTCGCGGAGTCGCTTGTGCGTGATGCGCCGCCGCAGGAAGATATCCGCGCGGCGCTCGAGCACCTCCGACGCGATGGACGCGCGCGCGTCTCGGCGCCACTTTTTAAAACACGAACGCGTTCGCCACGTTCGCGAGCGATCCCTCGCGAGCGCCTCCGCTCGCGCGAGCCTCTCTCTCGCGACCGCGCCGAGGACCGCCTCTCGCGACCACTCGCGCAGGATCCACCGCGTCGTGCGCGTCGCGCGAGTAACCGCCATTCGATCGGCGTTACGACGCGCGTCGGCGGCGGACGCCGTCGCGGCGCGCCACGCAGCGAGCGCGCTCTTAGGGTCGTTCCATACAAAAAATGTTCACCGGTCAGTTGAAAGGGGATGCGATCAAATATTGAAACCGGGCGATGGGTGAAACACGTTTGTATACGGCGGTCGTACTGTAGAACGCACCTTCGACGCGAAGTGTTTCCGCTTCCGCTCCGGCTTCAGAGCAAACGTCCGCAAGAGACGCTCGCTCAAGGTCATGATCTCGTCGCCCTCGTCGCGCTCGGGGGCCCATCCCGCGGTCGCGAACGCGTCGCCGCGCGAGGATATCGACGCGATGCGCTCGGGGGCGCCGTAAGAACGTGCCTCGTCGTCGTCGCCGCCGCCGACGCCGTCGCCGCCGCCGTCGTCGCCGCCGTCTGGGCCCGCTCGCGAGAGCCGACTTCTCGACCGCAGCTTCCCCGGCGTCGTGCTCACGACAGCCTCGCCGGACGGCAACGTGAGCCGTACGACGAGAAGGCACCGCCGCGGGGTTTGCCGCGACCGCACGACGATGAAGTCGCGCCCGCCGAGCCTGTCGAGGTTGCGCGCGGCGTCCTCGCCGAACGCCGACGCGAACGCGTCTCGCGTCGCGCGCGCGGAATCGCCGCCGCCGCCCCGACCGAATCGCATCACGCCCCACCCGCGCCACTCGCCGCGTTTCAACCGCACGCCGCCGAGGAGATTCCAGCGCTCGTGCACGCCGCGCGAGTCGCTGAAAAACTGCACGCGGTGCGGGGGTTTCCGTCGCGCTTGGAGGTACTTCCCGGTGAAGATCGACGCGAGGCCGAGCGCGCCGTACGCGGGCGCCGACGCCGCGTCGGCGCCACGCGTCGCGCGCTCATTGGACGGCGTGGCCGCGACGCCGCCACCGCCGACGACCGGCGTCAGCGACGGGATCGCGCCCCCGACGCCGCTCTGGACGCTGCCGCTCGTCGACGGCGTCGCGACGACGGCGGACGTGAACGTGAACGACGACGCGCTCTCTCCGCCGCCGCCAGCCGCGCGTCGTCCGCCGGAGGCCTCGCGTCTCGCGCGCCACTCGTCCACGACGACGTTCCCGCGCCAGTCCGCCTCCAGCCTCGCCTCGAACGCGGTCGTCGTGCTGTCGCGTATGGACGGCGGGAAGTCCCTCGCGGGGCCGCCGACGTCGCCGCCGCCTTCGCCGAGGCTCCACCACGACGCTCTGCGCGCGTCGTCGTCGTCGTCGCCGTCGTCGTCGTCGTCCTCTTCCGCGAGGTGCAGCGTCTCCGCGCGCCCGGGCGCGCGGCGCGACGCGTCCTCCGCGGGCGGGGAGTCGTACGGCGCGCACGCGAGAGGGTCCGCGACCGCGAAGACCTCGCCGTCTCTCGGGAGCCACGCCCACCGCGGCAGCGCTTCGCGGCGGTCGGCATCGTCGTCGTCGTCGTCGCGCGGCGTCGCGACGCCGCGCGGCGTGGTCGTCCGCGTCTCGTGTTCGCCGCCCGTCGTCGTCGCCGTCTCCGCGGGGCTGCCGCCGTCGGGCGTGCGGCTCGGGCCCGCGGGCTCGTGCGCGCGCTCGGGCGGGCTGTCGTCCGCGCTCGGCCCCGCGGACGCGAGGCCTCGCGACGGGTCCATCGCGGTTCGTTCTCTCTTCCGTGCTTAACAACAACAACGACCTCGCGCGGACGCCGCCGTCGCCGCGCGCTCGCGGCGTATCGCGCGCGCCGCCGCGCGCGTCCGGAGTCTCCTAAGGTCTAGGACTCCTCGCGCGGCGCTTCTCTCGCGACGCCTTCGCTAAAGGCGCGCGCGAGAGAGTGCGGCGCCGGCGAGGGCGTCGGTGTATTTGAATGGTGTGCGCGGCGCCGGCTGACGAGACCAAGATCAGCATGCTCGCTTCTGTCGTCGACGCCGCTCCTCAGACCTCGACGCACCGCGCGCGCGTTCCCGAGTCTTCGTCGCGATGCTGACGCTCCTCCGACGGTGCGCGCCTCCCCATCAGAGCCCCCACCGCCCGCCGCCGCGCCGCCGCGCGCGCGGGCGCCGCGACGCCGCCGCGCGCGCGTCGTCCGTCGACGGCGTCGACGGGGGCGTCGGCAACCCTAGCGATCGAATCGATCGAGCGATCGAGCGTTCGCGCCCTCGTCTCCGCTCCATCGCGCGTCGCCGTCGCCCGCCGCGCGCGCTCGCGAGGCTGACGATCTCCATCCTCCCCCTCCTTCTCCTCTCCCTCCTCGCGTCGCGTCGCCCGCAGGTGCGCGTCCGTCGCGCGGCGCGAGCGCGCGATCCTCCTCGCGCCGTCCCTCGCGCCGAGCGCCTCCGTCGCGCCGTGGCGATGGCGACGGCACGCGAGCAACGAGACGGGCACGAAGTACGACGTCGCGAACGGCCCGGGCGCGAACTTGCTTCGAATCCTGCGCGACGCGGAGAAGCCGCTGTCCGTCGCGCAAATCTACGCGAGCGTGGAGGAGCGCGATAGAGAGGCGCAGGGGGTGCACTCGAAGCGGCACATGAAGGGATTGCTGCGGTGGATGAAGTCCATACAACGCGTGTACACGTTGCCCGCGAAGAAGGCGTTCGAGGAGGACATCGTCAGCTTGCGCGCGTCGGGGAAGGGCCACGTGTTCAAGCTCACGGAGAAGGGAGAGAAGCACATAGCGAAGATCGACGCGAACGCGGGGATCGAGCGTCCGGCGGCGGCGGACGGCGGCGCGGCGGGCGCGGCGAGCGCGAGCCCGCCGCCGCCGTCGTGAGGCGACCGACCGACCGACCGACCGCGCGCGCGCGGATAGAAGCAGGACACCGCCGATAGTTCTAGAACGTCCTAATTCATTCGTATTGATGAGTGTGCCACGCTCGCGCGCGTCGTCGTCGTCGTCGTCGTCGTCGTCGTCGTCTCGCGTTCTCTCTCTCGCGCCCGACGTCGGCGAGCGAAGAAAAAATCCTCTCCCCGATCACGCCGGCACCCCGCCCTCGCCGCCGTTCGCCGTCGGCGTCTTCAACCCCCCCGCCCCCGCCCCCGCCCTCTTCTGCCGCTCGAGCGCCTCCATCCGCTGCTTCTGCCGCTCCGCGGACTCGACGAGCGCGTTCGCGAGCCGCTCCGCCTCCCACGCCTCTTTCTCGTACGTCTCAGGGTCGTTCCATACGAGCGAACGTCGGGGTGGAGTTCAAAGGCGTCAGGTGGAGTTGAAAGGCGTCGCGGGCGGGCGTTGAAAGCGAGGGGTGGGCGGAGAGAGACGACGGGAAAAGTCCTTAAGGATCGGCGTTCACCACGCGAACGCGGTCGTATGGGGACCAGTGTATAGAACGCACCTCGGCTTCCCGCGCCGCTTCCTCCGCGAGCGCGGCGGCTTTTTCCGCGTCTCTGACCGCCCTCGCGGCGTCCTTGTTCACCTCCTCCGCGGTCCTGTACTGCCCGTTGACGAGGAACAGGTACGGCGCCTCCGCGGGGGTCATCGTCGCGGTTGAGGCGGGGGCGGCGCCGCCCGACGCGCGGCCCCCGGCGCCGCCTGCGTTTTTCTGCTTTTTCTTCGCGTTTCCGCCGTTTCCGTCGTTCCCGCCGCGGTCGCGCTTGGACTTATCGCCTCCCGCGCTGCCCCCCCCCCCGGCGCCCTTCTCGCTCTTCACCTCGCTCTTATCCTTGCGGTGGTGGCTCCGCGCTCCGCCTGAATTCTTCTCCGACGCGGAGGACGTCTTCTTCGACCCGCCGCCGCCGCCGCCGCCGCCGCCCCTCGACCCGCCGCCGCCGGAGGAGCGGCCTTTCCCGCCGCGCCTCCCGCCGCTCTCGCTCTTCGTCGCGCCTCGAGACCCGTCGGAGGTCTTATCGTCGTCGTCCTGCGCGCGTCCGGGCGGGGACGAGGAGGAGGGGGTTGGACGGAGCGGTGAGCGCGGCGGCGCGACCCGAAAGGAATCGAAAGGAATCGAGTCGACCGCTCCGAGAATAATGAGACGCGTCGCCGTCGTCGCGCGCGACGTCGCCGCGGCGTCCGCTCGCCGATCGCGAAGCGGGAGCGATGCGCCGCCCGACGCGCGCGGTCGCGCGAGCCCGGGCGGAGATCGAGCGGCGGGCGGACGCGCGGCGGACGCGAGCGCGGCGGCGGCGGCGGCGGCGGCGTCGACGCGCCGTCGATCTCGGGACGAACGAAGCGACGACGGGAGAGGGGCGGTCGCGGCTCGCACCGTGTACTCCGACGAGCCGTTGTTCGGGTACATGTTCCTCCATTTATCCTGCGAGAGGCGAGGCGCGCGCGGGTCAGCGGGCGCGATCGCGTCGGCCGAGGCGGAGGAGGAGAGACGAGCGAGCGGCGACGCGAGGAGGAGACGGGGCGTCGCCGCGTAGATCGATCGTGACGCACCTTCAGGTCGACGTTGGAGCGCAGATTGAGCGTCTTGCCGAGGACGTCGTCCTTCTGGATGAGCCGCCACTTCCCCGGCCCGTACTTCTTCACGCCTCGCTTCAGCGCGTCCTCCTCCTCGACGGACCATTTCGTCTTCGGCGCGCCCATGCCTCCGGACGCGCGCGCGCTCGCGTGTGCGTCGTCCGCGTCGTCGTCGTCGTCGTCGGTCGTCGAGAATTCCCGTCGTCGCGTCGTCGGCGCGTCCGATGAGATCGATCGATCGCGATTTTTCGGGGAGCCGTTGGTCGGGCGCTGTTCGAGTCGTTGTTGACTCCGCGCCCCGCCGCGCCTCGCGCGCCACACGCGGACGCGCGCGGGCGCGCCACGCCACCCGCCGCTCCCGCACCGCACCACCACACAATGCCCCCCAGCGCGCTTAAACCCCCCGCGGGCGATGGCATCATCAACGGCGCGCGGCCGTACCGCCTCCTGAACGAGACGTCCATGAAGGACGGCTGGCGTCGCGTCCGCGTCGTGGGATGCCTCGCGCTGATATTCTTCGTCCTCGGCTGTCTGTACCTGATATACGAGCTCGCGTGGTACAACGTCCGCGACCGCGACGCGCGCGACATGGCGTGGGACTACAGGGTCACGTCCGCGGCGTCGCTGACGTTCCACAAGTACTTCCGGATGGTCTCGTGGGCGACGTATTACTACATCAACGCCGCGGCGGACGTGTTCCGAGAGGTGGTCGTCGCCGGGTACGATCGACCGGTCGTCCTGTTCCTGCAAGGAGGCACGTGCACGAGGACGGTGACGGTCCCGTGCCTCCTCGCGAAGCCGTCCTGGAGAGATACCGCGACGAACGGTCAGCTCAACGTCGCCACGGAGGCTGGCACGTGGGCGGTGGGGAACGGGAAGTGCATGAAGTCCGCGGCGACGACGTTTGCGAAATCGCTCGTCGACGCCACCGACGCGAACTGCGGCCTCGGCGTCGACGACACCCCGATGTACGCCTCCGGCGCGGATATGGCGCAGTATTACGTCACGCGATACGATGAGCTCAACGCGATGCGCGCGGCGATCACGGTGGCGTGCAACGACGGGGTTGTCGGGTCCACGCCGACCGCGTGTAAGATTCCAACCGCGGGTTCGCAGAATCAAGCCCTGGCCGCGGCGCCCCCGATTTTGGAGACGTGCGGGTCGACGGCGTACGACATCTCGTCCACGACGGCGACGTGGACGTACTGCCAGTGGCTGTCGTGGGCGGATAATAACTACGGGCTCACGGGGTCGGGGAGCCTCGCGACCGGCACGTGCACGATTTCCATAGACGTCGACGTGTGCGTGCAGACGACGGCGGCGTTGCAAGTCGCCGGGCAAGTCTCCGGGAACGCCGGCGCCGTCGCCATTCGCGACGTCGCCGGCGCGTTCTCGAGCTCCAACGTCCACACGCAGGCGATCGTGTCCTCGTTGACGTCCACGCCGGGACTGGCGGTCGTAACGTCCAACCAAGCGACGTTATCGTTATCCTCTGCGGTGACGCCGTACTACCCGGCCACGGACACCGCGGATGTGACGTATCAAATCTCCACCGCCTACGTCCCGCAGATTACGATCACGAACTTCGTCACCGCCGCCGCCGCGGTCGCCGGCGGCGGCGCCATCTCCGGATACGCCCTGCCCCCGAGCGACTCCGCGACGTCGTTCACGCAGTACTACGGCTTCTACCAGGGCGTCACGATCAACGGCGTGCGCGCGACGCTCAATTACACCTACGAGACGTCCGACGACTGGAAGACGCGCGCGGGGTACTTTGACGCGGCGTTTTGGCCGTGGAAGACGCCGTGCGGCGACACCGCGCACAACGTCACGACCTTCTCGCTGTTGAACTCGCCGCTGACCGTGACGTCCTGGCCCGCGTACAACGGCCAGGGTGCCGTCCCGGTGATCCCCGTGGTCGTCTTCGGGACGACGACGCGCGTCCCCGCGTACCAGAGCGACTGCGACTTCGACGCCGTCGCCGCGGCCGCGGGGACGGGCGTCTTGACGTGCGCCGCCGCGAGGTTGAGCCACGTGGAGATTCGGGTGGCGTTCACGCCCGTCGCGAGCGCGACGTTCGGCGCGTGGCGCGTCGTGGACGTGGTGCCGACGTACGGCGCGGCGACGAGCGGCACGGAGGCGACGTTGATCGCGAAGTGGGGCACCACGCAGACGATGACGGTGACGCTTCGAGACGCGGGCGCGCCCGAGGCGCTGACGACGCCGGCGCTCAACACGCAGTGGAACGTCGTGTGGGCGATCACGCTGTTCAGCGCGTTCGCGGTGAGCGCGCCGGTGTACGTGTTGTTGATGATGACGGTGGAGGAGAACGTGTGCATCAACCAAGGGAAGCCGCCGCCGGGTTGGAAGTGGGACGTGCGCTTCCGCGGGTGGTAGAGAAGAGTCTCGTCGGCGCGGCTGTCGTAACTTTTTGGATTTTATTAGCAGAGCGTCGGTCGGTCTGTCATCGTTTCCCTCTCCCGCCGCGGCCTTTCCCGCCGCCGCCTCTTCCTCCTCCACCCTTCCCGCCTCTCCCGCCGCCGCCGCCGCCGCTCTCTTCCTCGAACATGTCGTACGCCAAGTCGTCGAACAACCCGTCCGGGTCGTCGTCCTCCTCGAGCTCGTTCATCACCTCCTCTACGTTCCTCTCCAGCTCTTCGTCGTCCTCGTCGTCGAACACGACGAGATGCGTCCGGCGCTCCGCGTCGTCGGCGGCGTCGTCCCCAGAAGTCTCCTTCGTCACCAGAAGCACCGGGTTCATGGGCGCGTACACGAGGTACCGCGACCCCTTGGACGAGAACGTCAGGATCTCGATCCCTTCCGTCTCGTCGCCGGCGCCGTCCCCCGCGTCCATGAGCAACGCGTCCGTCTCGTTGAACCGCACCGCGCCGCGCACCGTCATGCAGAACGCGCTCCTCTGCAGCAGCATGCCCTTGCTCGCGAGCGCGGAGGCCATGTCCGGGAGAATCTCCTTCAGCTCGTCGTCGCCGATGTCGCTGAGGTCTTCGTTCGGGTCGACGCCCTCGCCGCGCAGGACGTCGATGGGGTGGTCGAGCGGCAGGCACAGGCATCGCTCCTCGCCGTTCGCGAGCTTGAAGCGGCGGCGGAGCATGCAGAGGAGGGTTCGGTTCGTCTCCGGCTCGACGACGGTCGCGAGCGGCATCGCGAGGGGGATCTCGTCGGCGGACGACGCGGCGACGCGGAGCGACGCGGAACGTCGCGGACGACGACGACGAGAATAATGCGATGAACGATGAGAATCGACGCGATTCTTCAATCCTCCGACGCCGGGGCGGGCGTCGCGGCGCGACGACGCGAGCGCCGCGGCGCGCGGAGTGGCGACGCGCGCGCATCGCGCGTGCGGCGACGCCGCGGCGTGCATCGTGGTCGTGATCGCGCGCGTCGTGGACGCGGTCGGCGGGTGCGCTTCTGCTTGTGACGACGAGCCGCCGTCATCGATCAGGCTGGGGGCTTTTGGCGCTTTTCGCGGCGCGCGCGGCGCGCGCGTTTCCGGCCCGGCGATCGCGACGGTTTGCCTCCCCCGTCGCGTCCGTCGCCGCGTCCCTCCCCTCCCGCGTCGCGTCACACCGCCGCCGCGCGCACCCTACGCCCGCGCACGCTCGAATCGCCTCACCTAAAGAACCCGCCGAAAGAACATGTCCGCGCACTTCCAAGAGGAGCAGGCGTTCCCGGACGAGTGCGCCAACTGCGGCGGAAGGGAGGACCTCGCGCTGTGCTCGCGATGCCACAGCGCGCACTTTTGCTCGCGGAAGTGCCAGAAGGCGTACTGGCCGTTCCACAAGGAGTGGTGCAAGCGGAACGACTTCGCGGATCACGTGGAGAAGACGCAGCCGAAGTTCGCGCGATTCCTGCGGAAGCACGGGAAGCAGGCGGTCCTGAAAGACGGTGCGAGGCGCGCGCGATCCCAAACGATCCATCCCGCGCGACGATTCGATCTCGAATCTTAGCGTCCTCGAACGCACGTCGCCTCGTTTCATTTCATTTCATCATGATCATTCCGCGAACGCGTCTCAAACGCGGAATCCATCCCGCCCGTCCCCAACGTCGCGTTCTCATCATCGTCCTCCTCCTTCGCGTCGCAGACGAGGTCGATCGCGTCGAGCGCAAGGTGGTCAGCGTAGCTGACATGTACGGCGACGCCAACCCCAAGCCGAAGCCGCCGAACTTCGACGCGGAGGACATGCGAAAGATGAAACTCGCCGACGAGCGTCGCTTGATGGCGCTTCGCGACGCGGACCGTCACACCGTCGCCGCGCGCGTCGCCGGCGGCGCCGTCGCCGGCGCCGCCGCGATCGCGTGGGGAGAGATCGAAGTCGCGGAGGGCCTCGGCGTGGACGACGACGCCGGCCTGGGGATGAAGTGGCGGCAGAATCAGGTGCGTTCTATACAAACGAATTTCACCCATCGCTCGGTTTCAACACTTGATCGCTCCCCCTTTCAACTGACCGATGAACTCTTTTTGTATGGAACGACCATCAGACGTTCGTGGAGGTTTTCGTGTTGCTTCCGACGGGGTGCCCGGGCTCGCGCGTGGACGTGAAGCTCGAGACGGACCGCATCAGGGTCACCGTCAAAGGTGCGCGCGCGCGTCGCCCACCAATCACATTCGCGCTTTCCTTCCCGTCCACCAATCACGTGGCACGACGCCCGCCGCGTCGGTCGTTGACGCCTTCTTACTCGCCGACCGCGACAGGCGAAGACGTCATCCGCGGCGAGCTGTACGCGCCGATCAAAGCCGAGGCGTCGACGTGGTTGATCGCCGACGGCGTCCTCGAGCTCTCCCTGCTGAAGCGCAACCGCAGAGGGAACTACGAGAACGGCTCGAACAACGCGGAGACGTTCTGGTTCTCCGTCGTGCGAGAAGACGGCGGACGGAGGGACGACGCCGCCGGCGACGCGCCGAGCGGTTATGGGCGCCCCGCGATCGGCCCGCCGCGCGTCGCGTCGAGCTACCCGCCGAACGAGTACTACGAGGTGCGTCTCGTCTCGTTTTTCGCCTTTCGCGCGCCCCCGCCGCTCGGTTTCAACGCGCGTCGATCGATCGCGTCGGTCCCCCTTTCGACTGACCCTTTCCGCCGACCGCCAGAGCGCCCACGTCGCCGCGCCGGAGGGCGACGGGCCCGGGTACAAGGGGCGGGCGAGCTCGAACCGGCCGATGATCAAGAACAAGCCGAACTAGGAGAGCGCGACGCGACGCGGCGGGATGGGGACGGGCGGAAGAGATCGATGAGTGGATGAAGAGCGCGAACGCGAGGGCTTTCGCGAAAGGATTTGATGTTTGGCTACGATGCGGTTCTTTTCACCTCCACCGCTTATAAACCGCCTTATTACTACACCGCGACGTAGGATCGCAACGCCGCGGCGAGGTCGCCGCCGTGCTCGCGTAACCTCAACTCCGCTGCCTTCTTCTCCACCTCCATCTCGCTCACGATCACCGCGACGTCCGCGGCGTCGATCTTCACCTTGGCGAGCTCGCGCAGTCGCGCCGCCTCCGCCTCTTTCTCCGCCTTGCCCTCCTCCAGGAGCGCGCGCAGCGCCTCCGCGCGCGCGCCGGGCGTGACGACGTCCGCGGCCGCGGCGTCGTCGCCGTCGTCGTCGCGCCCGCCGAGACGATCGAGTCCTTTCGACGCCTCCGCGGCGGCGCCGGTCTGCGCGGGCGCGACGTCTTCGATCTCGTCGTCGTCGTGCTCGCCCATGGTGGTGTGGCGGCAGCAACGCGCGCTGTCGACATCTGATGCGCGTCGTTCGACGATGCGTTTCAAACCAAGCCCCGATCGAGCCAGCCGGTCAAACTGACCCGCACTTCTCCCAACCGACCGATAACCGACCGCGAAAAGCGCTGATTTCACCGCACGACCCGCGCGACTTTCCTCGGTCGTCCGCTCACAACGACCGAACGCCGCGCGGGGCGTCCCGGCGCCGTCTTCGCCGCCGCGGCGCGACGGCGCGCGCGGTGGACGGCACGGCGCGCGTCGTCGTCGTCGTCGTCGTCACTCGATGTCTTCTCCGTCGGGCCGGGCGCGGCGCGAGGACGGAACCGCGAGATCGCGATCGACGCGGTCGTCTCGGTGCTCCAAGCCGTCGTCGTCGTCGTCGCTCCTCCTTTCGCTCCTCCTCCTCCTCGCGTTGACGCTCGTCGCGGCGACGGCGCGCGTCGTCGTCGCGTCGTCGTCGTCGCCATCGTCGCCGCCGCCGTCCGACGGCGCGGACGACGCCGCGGGCGGGATCCCCGTCCTCGAGCCGGGAGGCGTCGGCGACGACGACAACGGCGGCGGCGGCGGCCCGCGGCGGCGCGTTCGGTTCGGCGAGAGAGTCGCCCTCGAGGATCTCGGCCCGATCATCGTGAACGACGACTGCACGATGCGGCGGATATCGAACTGGGACGCGCTCAGCGCGAGGGAACGACGCGGGGTGAGCGCGCGCGTCGTCGAGAGGAACGCGGCGCGGTTGGCGCGGTGTCGCGAGGCGGACGCCGCCGGCGGGGACGGGGATGGGGACGGCGGGGACGGGGACGGGGGCGGGGGCGGGGACGGTGGGGTGGGGGACGACGCGGCGGCTTCGATCGGCGGCGACGTCGAGCGCGTCCGCGGGGACGAGCGCGGAGACGACGGAGACGTCGCGAGAGAGAGGGGCGGCAGAGAGGAGTTGTAGAAGCGTACAGTAGATATCGAAACGAAACAGAAGAATAACGGAAGAGAAGGAAAAATCTAAAAGTAGTCCGGCCCTGTTCATCGGTCAATTGAAAGAGCACGCGATCAAATGTTGAAACCGAGTGGTGGGTGAAAAAGGTTCGCGCGCTTGCTAAACGAAGCGAAGAAATCTTACACGTGGACGTGTTTCCTGTGAGCACGATAGGGCAAAGATCTCGCGCTCCATTCGAAGGGGCGCGCGCCCGTCTCGCCGCCGCGTCGCGTCATGCCGGAGGGCGATAAACCCCCTCCCCCTGCGGAGGGCACGCCGGTCTCCGTGACCGTCGGCCAGCCCGCGCCGCCCGGCTCGACCGCGAGTCTCGCGCGCGCGCACCCCGTCGATCTCGCCGGCTCGGGGCCGTCGCAAACGGGCCCGCCCACGACGAACGGCGCGATTCCCGTCGCGCCCGCGGCCTCGAGCGAGACCCCGCACCGCGCGGACATCAGCGTCACGCAGTGGAGCGGCCAGGTCGCCCCGCGCGGCGTCGCGATGCACCCCGCGCTCGGCCCGATGTACGCGCACGACGCGAACTACCTCCTCTCCACGACCGCGGACCTCGACCCGGACGTCTACCCGCGCGGGATGGGGATGCGCGTGCTCCCGAGCGCGCACGATCTGGGGCACTTCGACGGCCGCGTCCTCGACGCGTCGTCGTCGTACTACAGCACGAACCTGTTCGACTGCCACAAAGATCTGGACGCGTGCGTATGGGGCGCGCTGTGCACGCCGTGCCAGCTCGGCGAGTCCGCGCGCGACGGACGCGCGGGCGACTGCTGCGGCGTCGCGACCGCGATCGTCGTCTCGCTGGGTCTCCTCAACCAGCTGCTGCCGTGCCTGGGCAACTTCGTCGCGGGCGGCTTCGCGGCGACGGTGACGAACCGCGTCGCGCTCAATTACGGCATCACGGAGCCGACGGACCTCATCACAGCGTGCGCGTGCATGCCGTGCGTGTCGTGCCGCCTCGCGCGCGAGATCAAGCGCCGGACCGCGATGGGACAGGAGCCGATCGACTTCCATCAGTTGTGGCTGGCGTCGGGCGGGAGAATAAACCCGTGGCAGTTCGCGGAGCTGGCGCGCCCGCGCGCGCAGGAGATGTCGCGCGACGACGCCGACGGGGAACCGACCAGCCGGGATACGATGGTGACGTACGTCGCCGTGGTGGGAGGGGACGACGCCGACGGCGTGCAGGTGCAAGGGGTCGCCGTCGCGGAGGAGTGCGGGGGGGACGGGAAAGGCGCGGCTAATGCGGCGGCGGCGAAGGAGGCGGCGCCGGACGCGGACGGGGACGAGAAGCTTCTCCCGCAGGTGTGATCCGATCCGATCGTGTTTGTTTGCAGTAGTGTACCCTCGCTTGTAACACCAGACGATTCGCCGACCCGAGCCGGGTCGCGCGCGACAACAGAAACTAGAGCATGAGTTGTCTACTACCTTCGTACGAAGGTATGATAGATCTACGCGTCTGCTCGTAAACAGAAGAAAGACGCTAAAAGGCGTCTTCACCACCACCCGCTCTTTTTCTTCGCCTTCGCCTTGACGTGCTTGAGTCTCTTCGCGAGCGCCGCGTTCGCCTTCGTCCGCGAGACGGCCAGCTTCTCCAACGCGGCGCCGAGCGCCTCGCGTTCGAACATCAGAGGCACGAGTCCGGCTTGGCGAATCTCCACTACCAGGCACCTCCCGTCGTCGCCCTCGTTCCCCTCCTCCTCCTTCTCCGCGCCCGGGAGCTTCGCTATCATGTTCGGCATCGCCCGCACCGTCGCGCACCGCGCGCCGTCGTCCGAGTGCGCGGCCATCTCGCCGAAGACCTCGCCGACGCGCAGCGTGCCGAGCGCGACGCGCTCGCCGTCGGGCGTCGTCGTCGACGCCTCCAACTCGCCCGACGCGACGACGAAGATCGACCCGCCGCGTTCGCCCTGGGATATCACCGCGACGCCGGGGTCCACGGCGTAGCACTCCGCGTGCCCGGCGTCGAACAGCGACGCGACGTCCGCGGTGGACAGCGCGCGGAACACCTCGACGTGGTCGCGCGTCCACTCGCCCCACCGCCTCGGCGGCCACGCTTCCATGCCTTTTTTGGTAATTTTCGTCTCGTCCCCTCCCGGCGTCGACGCGCCGCCCGGGGTATCCCTCCCGTCGCCGCCGTCCATCGTCGCGAGCGATCGCGACGAGCTCGATCGCTGGCTCAGGCTCGCGCTTAGGCGTCGCTTCATCGACAGCGACGCGCCGAGCGCGCGCTTCCAATTCGAATTCGCGTCGGCGTCGCCCCCCCCTCGACCTTGAGCATCGATGAGCTCGCGGACGGTCTCCTCCACGCCGCCCAGCGCGTCGAGGACCTCGCGGTGCATCTCCTCTCTCGCCGCCGTTTGCTCCTCGTGTCGCCGCTCGACCGCGTCGATGATCTCCGGGAGCGCGATCTGCGCGGTCTCGTGCACCACCGCGACGGCGCTGCGGTGTTGAAACTCGCGCGTCATCTTCTCGCCGTGCTCCGCGAGCGCGCCGGTCAGCGGGTGCAGGACTTGGTCGCGCAGGTTGAACACGCGCTCGTTCGTCTCCGCGATCGATCTCGCGAGCGTCTCGACGACGGCGCGAAGCTCCGAGAGCTCCGCGCTGTTGCGGTAGTTGGACGCGAGGATGTCGTTCTGCTTCGCCGCGATCGAAGCGATGGCCGCGTCGAGATGCGCGATTCCCGGGTCCGCGCGCATGACCGGGCCGCCGTAGCCGTACTTTGGCTTCAGCGAGCGCATCTTGTCGAGGTAGATGGCTTCGACGTCCGCGGCGTGCGGGTCCGCGGGAGGCATCGCGGCGGCGGAGTGACGCGCGGCGCGGCGCGGCGCGTTCTGTCGGATTCTGTCGGAATTGCCGAGAGTCGCGTGCGGTGCCGAGAAATTTTGATTTCGCTCCAGTCGTCTGTGCGCCTACGCTACGTCGACGCCTCTATCGCTCGCGCGGCCGCGTCGTCCTCGACCGCATATGCCTCCTCTTCCTCCCCCGCGCCCCCTACCCCCTCCCCACCCCCACCCCCGCCCTCGCCTCGCGTCGGACGCGCGCGCAGCCAGATGTTCAGCGCGAATTTCTCCCCCGCCTCCACGGGCTCGCCCGCGTGCGTCGTCCTCGGATCCTCCTTTCCGTCGTCGTCGACGTTCCACCACAGCACCGCGTCTCCCACCCTGGGGTCGAACCCCAGATGAAGCTTCGGGAACGTCGTCCGACCGCCGCGCGTCGGCTCGCGGAGGTACGCGAGGAGCGTCACCACGCGCTGGCCGCCGCGCCGGGTCTTTTCCTCGAACGTCGCGCCCGCGGGGTCGAACCAATCGCAGTGTGGATCGTATTTCTGAGAAGGGAGGTACCTTACGACTTGCGCGGGCTCCGCGTGCGCGGGAGTGAGGTTGGAGAGGTAGCACGCGCGCTGCACCGCGGCGCGAACCGCGGGGTGTGTGGACGCCACGCGCGCGTTCCAGCTCGTGCGGCCTTCGGACGTCTCGCCCGTCGTCGCCGCCGCGTCGGCGTCGGCGGCGGCGGCGTGTCTCACCACGAGCGAAGGATGCAACGCCGGAGCGGCGACCCGTATGATCTCCTCCGCCTCGTCGCGCGTGAGGAACCCCGAGATGGCGAACATCCGCGGATGACTCGAGACGCGCTTCGCGCGCACGACGCGCCCGTGGCACGACGTCAGCGTCACCGTCTCGCGAAGCGGGTCGCGCCACGTGACGTACCTCCACCGCTTTGGAAGCGACGGGAACGCGCGCAGGTCCGATACCGTACCGCCCCTGTGCGTCATCTCGTACCGCACGAGCTGCGCGAGGAACGACGGGTTCGGGCACGCCTTCGGCCTTCGCGAGCGTATCCGCTCCAGGGCCTCGCCGAGGGAGTGGCCCTCGTGCTTCGTCAGGTACGCCGCGACCGCAGCCGCGGACCGCGACTGTCCGAACGCGCAGTGCACGAGGACGCGCGCGCGGGACGGCGCGCTCGCCTTCGCGGCGGCGATGAACGCGCCGACGTCGTCGAGGTGCGAGCTCAGGAGGTCCGCCGCGCGCGTGTCCTCGACCTTGACGATCAGGCGCGCGATTTTCGTTTTCGTTTCCGCTTTCGACGACGACGACGACGTCGCGTCCGCGTCGACGTCGGCGTCGTCGAGATCGAGGCAGCTCGGGGGCGGGCGCTTCATCATCGTGACGACGTGCGTCACGCCGGCGTCGCGGAGGATCTCGCCGCGGTTGCGCCCCACAGACTCCTGCGAGCCGACGTATAAGAATCCGTCGAGGACGTCCGTCGCGTCCGGGATGTCCGCGGGCATGTTCGACCGCGAGGCCCCCGGCCGCGCGGCCGGGAGTGATGACGGATGTCAACTTTTCGTTATCGTCGTCCGTCCCGAGAACTTGCCGTTTGCGAGACGAGTTCATCAACATGAGACGCACAACCCCCCGCGCGGGTCGCCCGTCGCGATGTCCGCCGCCCCGACCCCCGGCCGCGACCCCGCGGCGGACCGCGAAGCGCTCAGGCAGGCGACGCTCGAGGCGGCGCGAATGCGCGAGCGCGCGGAGACGCTCGAGACCGCGCTGCGCGAGGCGTCGACGAGCCGCGCGAGCGAGCGCGAGGGATGGCGCGCGAGGTTGGAGCGCGCGGACGAGCGCGTTCGGCTGGAGCGCGTCCGCGTCGAGGCGCTCGAGGTGCGTCCGGTCCCGGTCGTCGTCGCGACGCGATATGCGACGCGCCGCGGCGCGGCCCGTCGCGCGCGAACTCTCGGCGGCGGCGGCCCGCCGGCCGTCGCGTCGCGGGCGTCGTTCAGATTCGCGTCGCGTCGCTCGCGCGGCGCGCGCTTTTTCCCCTCCCGCTCGCGTCCCTCCGGGGGGACCCGCGGCCTCTCTCGCCGACGCCGACGCCCGTCCCACCCCACCGTCTGTCGTCCTCAGGTCGCGCTGGGCGAGCGCGAGCGAACGCCGCCGCCGCCGCCGTCGACGTCGAGCCGCGAGGAAGACGCGGAAGACGAGGTCGAGACGGACGAACCCTCATCATCGACGTCGCTCGCGGCGACGCGGCGCGGGGCTGGACGCGTCGCCGCCAGAACGTCCTCCTCCTCGGCTTCGCGCGTCGTCCGCGACCTCACGTCCTGGAAAGACCCCTCCGCGTCCGGAAAAGTCTTCGGCGGCGGCCTCTACGCGCTCGTGTGCGCGCACTCGCTGCGCACGGCGGCTATCCCCGCGAGCGCGGTCCTCTGCGCGTGCGTCATGGCGACGCTGTCGTCGACGCTCGCGTGGAAGCTCTTCTCGCGGCTGCGCGCGGGGGTCGGCCTCCGCGGCGTCGAGGCGTGGCGCGAGAGCGAAGACGCGTCCGCGGCGAAGCGGCGCGACCGCGAGGCGTCCGCGCGGCGAGTCGCCGCGAAGTTGGGGGGATGGGTCGCCGCGACCGCGTCGAGATGCGCGCCCGCCGCCGCGGAGTCGTGGCTCTTCGTCGAGAAGATCGTGACGTGGGCGCATCCGCCGAGCACGCTCCGCGCGTGCTTCGTCGCGTGGGTCAGCTCGCTCGTCGCGCGCGTGTGGTGGCTGTCCGCGATGACGACGGCGACGACGTTTTGGATCCTGGCGTTCGCGGCGCCGCCGTTCCTCGCGGCGTTCGGACCCGCGGCGGCGGCGGCGTCGCGCGCGTTCGCCGCCGACGCCGCCGCTCGATTCGCGCACGTCCTCAACGACCGGAGGTTCCAGCTCGGGTTCGTCGGGTTCGTGTGGACGCACGCGGGCGTCGCGGGGAAGACGCTGCTGGTCCTCGCCGCGGTGACGCTCGTGCTGACCGTGTCCCCGGGGGAGCCCGCGCGGGACCAGGGCGAGACGGCCGGCGGCCGGCGGCGTTCGAGCGCGGCGGCGGCGAGGGGACCCGGCATAATAGCGGGGAGGGACGACGCGACGACGACGGTCAGCGGGAGCGTCGTGATCACGGAGCTGCCGGCGTCGCCGACGCGGAAGGCGGCGACGACGGCGACGACGAGGGTGGCGGAGACGAGGAGGAGGGCCGCGGCGACGGCGACGACGACGGCGCCGCCGAGGCGGATGTCTTTTTTCGGCGGGTACGGCCGAAGAGCCGCCGCCGCCGTCGCCGCGTCTGCTTCTTCGCCAAAGTCGGAGCGGGACGCCCCGGGCAGAGGCGGCGACGAGAACGTCCCGCCGTGGGGCGGGGACTCGCCGACGACGCCGACGACGAAGCAGCGGCGGGCGGGCGCGGAGGACGCCTTCGGCGGCAGCGTGGAGAAGCGGCTGTCGCTCTCGCGTCGGCGGATGATCGCAGAGCGCGCGCGACGGCTCATGGCGGACTCGGACGACGACTGACCTGACCTGACTGGCGCCCGGCGCGAGTCGCGGGCATCTGATCGCGATAGAATACATCGAAAGAGAAAAAAATACGCATGACGTGCTACCGTTTCGCCGCCGCCGCCGCGCGCCGCCGCGCGACGAGCGCTTTTTTCTCCGCGAACGCGCGCAATCCATCTTCCCACGCTCGTTCGGTCATCCCGCCGACGCACAGCACGCACGTCACGCCGAGCGTCGCCACGTCCCTCGTGTTTTGCTCCTCGTTGTCGAAGAAGAGCATGTCCGCGTACGGTATCCCAGTCCGCGCCTTGAGCTTCTCGAAGTGTCGCTTCTTCGTCCCCGAATACATCTCCACGAGGTCTCCCACGCACTCGCGCATCGTCGTCGTCGTCCCGCTCCCGCTCCCGTCGTCGACGACGAACATCCCCATGACCTCGTCCGCCCACGCGCCGCGATTCGTCCGCGACGCGACCGCGATCTTCGTGCCTCTCTTCGCGAACGCCGCGTGCGAGCGCAGCATCGCCATCGCGGCCGTCGCGGCGGGGTAGCACCGGAGCTCCTCGCCGCTCGCGTCCATCACCCTCTCGCGCCCAGTGGTGTCGCACCTCTCCTTCGTCCACGGCGCGCCGCGCATCATGTACAGCTCCGGGAACCATATCGTGTCGTCCAGGTCGAAGCACACGAGCGCGGGGAGGTCCTGGCCGTCGAGCGGTGGGGCCCACAGCGTCGCGGGCGCGTCCATCGTCTCGTCGTTCGCGGCGCGGTGCGGTCGCCGCCGAGGATGGCGCGTCCTCGTCTTTTGACGCTCGGCGCCTCCGCTGCTCATCACGCCGCCGCGGCCTCGGCCGCCGCCTCTGCGGCCGCCCGAGCCGCGGTCGCCGCGGCCGCCTCCGCCTCGCCGCGCGACCGGCGCGAGCGTCGCGAGCGTCGCGATCGTCGCGCTCGCCATGGAGTGACGAGGGAGGCTCCGGCGACGCGACCGTCGACGCTCGGCGCGCGTTCCGGGACCGTTCCGGAGGCGGGGGCGGGGGCCGACTCGCGCAGGACTCGCGCGTCATCGTCAGTCCGGAATTTTCGCGACGAGAATGGTGGCGGCGTCGCTCAGTGCCATCGTCGCAGACGCACGTTCACCATGGGCAAGGACGGCAAGACCCCGAAGAAGGATAAGAAGGATAAGAAGGAGGGCAGCGACGACGGCGACGGCGCGCTCAGGCCGGTCTGCGCGATCGCGAAGCCGCTCGCGGACGTCGGCTTCCACAAGAAGATCCTCAAGGTCGTGAAAAAGGTGCGCGTCGCCATTCCTTCCGATCCGCCGAAAACCCGCCCGCCGATCCGCGTCCCCCCCTCGCTCGCGTCGTCGCGCGACTGACCCATCCCCGCCGGCGTCCGTCGCGTCCATCGCAGGCCTCGAAACATAAGCAGGTGAAGCGCGGCGTGAAGGAGGTGGTGAAGGCGCTGCGCAAGGAGACCAAGGGGTGCGTCGATCGCTCGCGGCGATCCCGCGGGCGATTCATCGTCGTCCGTCGTTCCGAGCGAATTCCTTCCCCACAACAGCATTTTTTCCCTTTCCGATCCTCGACCCCCCGCCCGCAAACCTCGCCGCTGACCGCCCCCCCCCCTCTCTCCCCACCTGAACGAACGACAAAACAGGCTGTGCGTGATCGCGGGCGACATCTCCCCCATCGACGTCATCTCGCACATCCCGATCCTCTGCGAAGAAGCCGGGGTGCCGTACGTGTACGTCCACAGCAAAGACGAGCTCGGCGCGGCGGGGCAGACGAAGCGCCCGACGAGTTGCATGCTCGTGCTGCCGGAGGCGCAGAAGGGCGGGGAGAAGATGAGTGGCGACGACGCGAAGGAGTTCAAGGACATGTACGGGAAGGTCGTCGCGAAGATCGGGTCGCTACACTAGACGGAACGGAAGAAGTCGGTCGTCGACGCGAGTGTACGCGCGTGTATAAATAAATTCCCACCAGTCTAACGCCGCCGAGAAGCGTAAGCGCGCGTCGTCTAAGGACTAATAGGAGCGACTATGTACCGTTCCTCGGTCACATGATGAACTTCGGCTTGCCGCGTCCCTTCGCGCCGAGCACCGGCCGCGCGAGTCCGGCGTCGTCGTCGTCGTCGTCCGAGCTCGCGCTCGCCACCTTCTTCCTCGCCCCCGGACGCGCTTTTCGGCCGTTCCCGCCGCCGCCGCCGCCCTCCGTCGACGCCTTCGCCGCCGCCTCCTCCGCCGCCTTCGCCCTCTTCTTCGCGGCTCTCTCCGCCTCCGCCGCCCGCTCCTTCTCTTTCGCGTCCTCCTCCTCGTCGTCGTCGTCCGAGCTCGTGTCGCCGACCGACGCGTCGTCGTCGTCGTCGTCGTCCTCCCTGTGCCGCTTCCTAAAGGCCGCCGCCTTGGCCTTCATCGCCGCGATGCGCTCGCGGTGCGCCTCCTGCTGCCGCTGAATCTCCTCGTGATACCCCTCCGCGTCCCTTCTCTCCTGCGCCTTCTTCGCGCGCAACATCAACCCCGGGTCGAGGCGGCACTTCTCGTTGAACGCCTTCGTCGCGAATTTCCGGAGCGCCTCGCCTCGGCGCGCGGGGTCGCGCAGCGCGCGGTTCGCGTCCGAGAGCTTGTCGAACGCGATCTTCGCCTCCTCGCTCGGGTTCTTGTCCGGATGCACGCGCAGCGACGCCTTGCGGAACGCCTTGCTCACGACGCCGTCCGGGACGTCCCACACCGGCTTCCCCGCGTCGTCGCAGTCCGGGAGCGGGAGCCCGAGCGCGGTGAAGAAGTCGCCGTCCGCGTGCGCGCGGACGATGCGCTCCGCGGCCGTGGGGTCCGGTTTGTCGTCGTCGCTGTCGCTCTCGCCGGGGAGCGGGCGGCGCGCGGACGCCGGCGCGGCGCGAGCCGCGGCCTCGTTGAACATCCGCTCGAGCCGCTCCATCTCGCGGAGAGGACGCGCGGACGGACGGACGCGCGGACGACGACGACGAACCGCGCGGGCGCGAAGTGATGAACGTGAAGATGTGCACTCTGCGTCGTCGTCCACGAGTCGAGTCCTGTAGCAGGTCATCGTCGCGTCGCTGTCGTTTTTCATTTTTGGCGCGGACTACGCGAGCGTCGCGTGTGTACATTCAACGTCTATTACAGTACGATACCCTGGGGGACGGCAGGCTCTCAGTTTACCTTCGCTTCGCTTCTCTTCTCTTCGCCTGCACTTCACCTCCCCCGCGAGCGCGTCAGCGAGAGCGGGACGCTCCGCGGCGCCTGCCGCATCGTCTTCTTCGCCGCGAAAAACGCGACGCTCTCCGGATCCTCGCTCGCGATCTTTTGCAGCTCCATGCTCACGAACTGCTCGCCGTAATCGAGCTCCTCCTCGCTCGCGCCGACGCCGCCGATCTGCCCGTGCCCGCCGTCGTCGTACCACCGCTGAAACTCGCGCAGAAGCTCGGCGCGGCACTCCTGCACCGCGGTCACGTGCGGCGCGACTGCCGTCTTGAGATCCTTCACCTCGTCGTACGCGCGGCGGTACTCCCCCTTGGTCGCCTTGAGCCGCGCCATGGCGGCGTACGTCTCCTCGTCGATCACCTCGTCCGCGAGCATCGAGGTCGCGGAAGGGTCCGCGCCCGCGCCCGCGCCCGCGACGGATCCGCCGGGGCTCCCTTCCCGCGAAGGCGTCGCCGCGGCCGCGCCGGATCCGGACGCGGACGCCTCCGCCTCCGCGTCGAGACGAAGCGTCGACGCCTTCGCCGAGAGCTTCTCGTCCGCCGCCGCCGCCGAGCGCATCTCTTCCACGACGACGGACAGCTCGTCGATGCTCGCCTTGGCGGCGTTGACGACCTCGACCGCGGCGTTGAGCTCGACGCGCTTGACGCGCAGGGTCTCCACCTTGTCGCGGAGCTCCGCGGCTCTCTCCGGGGCGATCATCTTTTTGTAGATTGCAAACGCGGAGTTCTTCTTCGAGTGGACGCTCATCTCCGGCGCGAGAATCGGCGGCCGCACGCCCGTCCCGCCGAGCGCGCCCGCGAGCTGCGCGTTCGCGGACCGCGGGCGGTCGGAATCCGGGTCCGCCGGCGGCGCCGCGTCGTCGGGCGCGACGCCGAGGTGGAACCCGCCGTCGCCGTCGTCGACGTCCCCGACCTCGTCGCCGTCGCCGTCGCCCTCCGCGGCGGCGGCGCCGTCTTCTTCTCCCTCCGCCGCGGAAGGCGCCTCCTCCGCGTTTTGCGCCTCCGCGGTGGTCTCTTCCGAAGAGACCGCCGCGTCATCCTCCGCGGGCGGCGACGGCCGCGCGGCCATCTCCGCGGCGTGTTCCTCGCGCATCTGCAGATGGAACGCCTTGAACAGCTTGAACGTCTCTCTCACGCGCTTCAGGGAATCGCACGGCAGCTCCTCCAGCGTCGTCATCCCGTGCACGTAATCCCTCACCTTTTCGCTCAGCTCCGTGCGCTCGATCTCGGATAAGTCGCCGTAGTTGACCGTCTCGCGGTTCGCGAACGTGTCCCGCATCGCGAGCTCTTGCTTCAGCTCCTGGACCTGCCGCTCGTACTTGCGAAGCAGCACCCGCGGGTCTTTGCTCTCGTTGATCACCGGGTTCGTGCGCAGCGTCCGCACGCGGCCGCTAAACCGACACGTGGACACCGTCTCCTCCACGTGTCCAAACTCCGGCCACACGCACGCGATCATGACCGTCTTGCAGTTCCCAATCAACGAATCGCGAAGCACGCTCGTGAGCTTCGATTGGCGGTACGGAATCGCCTTGTCCTTCCTCGACATCGCCATCACCGTCTGCTCCAGCAAGCTCAGCGATCGGTTGATGAACGTCGCCTCTTTGAACAGCGCGCCGGTGACGTGCGACTTCTTCACGCGCTCGCTCCCGGCGAGATCGACCAGGTGAAGCTTCGACACGATCGTCTTATCCGGCCCGTCCCCTGTCGCGCGTTGCTCCAGGTGAATCGTGAAGACGCAGTGCGAGCGCGAGGAGGATTTGTTGAGCGCGTGCGCGGCGACGGCTCTGTTGGCGTCCCCCGCGAAAAACGCCGCCAGCGCCTCCGCCTCGCTCGCGACGTACTTCTTCGTCAGACCCTTCACTCGCACCTCGTCCCCGCGCTCGACGATCGTGAGGGACTCTCGGCGCGACGGGATCCCGCCGTCCTCGGAGGAGTCCGCGAGGAGGTCGTACATCTGCTCGTTGTAAATTTCGAGGTAGGAGACGCGAACGACTTTTTCCTTCTCCACTCGCAGGTCCATCTCGTGGAAGATGTGGTGGACCGCTCTCGGGACGACGCCGCGCTGCTTGTAATCGCCCGGCTCGCCCGTCATCGTGAACGTCTTCCCCGCGCCCGTCTGCCCGTACGCGAACACCGTGCCGTTGTACCCGTTCATGACGTTATCCACCACCTCGCTCGCGCAGTGATCGTAGACGCCCTCCTGGTTGATATCCTTGAGGACGTTGTCGAACGTGAACGCGAAGCCGTCCGCGGCGTTGTTGACGTCCAGGCCTCGTCGCGCGGCGGTCTTGTCGGGTTTGAGGTCCACGTTGACGGTCTTGTTATCCGCTTGCACGCTGCGGGTGGAGGACGCGGGGGGGGGAGAGGTCAAGGTCAGCGGTCGGGTCGGGACGGAGTCGCGACGATGGACTGCGTCGCGTGCGCTTCAGCGGGGGGACGACCGACGGCGATGACCGGGGATCTATCGAGCGCGTCGGACGGGGCACGCACACGAACGAGCCCTCATCGTCGATGCACGGCCGCGCGCGGAGGAACACCTTCACCGCGCTCGTCGTCGCGTCGCGCGGAGCGGGCTTCATCGCGCCTCTCGCGTCGAGACGACGCGCGCCGCCCGTTGTCCCCGCGCGTCGGTCAATCCGACCCCTAAATAGGCTTCGCTTCGTCGGAAGGGGTAAACTGTGCGACCGACCGCGATGGAAGTCTGGTGGAAAGGGGGACGAGCGACGCGCGGCGCGCGGCACACGCGTCGACGCGCGCGATGCCGTCGTTCGACAAGCAAGTATCGCGCCCGGCCGCGAAGGCGGGCGCGCCGGCGCCCGCCAGGGCGCGAAGCGGCGGGCCAGGTGCGTCGTCGCATCCCGCGCGCGCGCGTCATCTTCCGCTTCCGCGTCGCCTCGATCTCGAGCGTTTCGCCGTTTCGTACTCCGTCGCGCGAACGATGGTTCCGAGAAGACGTCCACGACGACCCCCGCCGACGACGCGTCCCGCCGCGTCCCTCCCCGATCGTCCGCGCAGACCCGTTCGTGATCGCGCACGTGCACAAGCAGTCCGACGCGGAGGCGTTCTTCGAAGCGCGGTTCGGCCTCGAGCCGTCTTCGAACGACGTCCGCTCCCCGCTGCGCGACGGCTCCAACCGAGCGAAGCCGTCCACCTCGGAGCGCGGCGGCCCGACGTCCGCGGCTGGCAAAAAGATCGCCGACCTCCAGACGAAGCTCGCGCACGCGATGGCGGCGGTCCAAGAGGGCGACGCCGCGACGGAGCAGGCGCGGATCGAGCGCGAGCGCGCCGCGGTGGCGTGGGCGGACGCCATGGCTGCCGCCGACGCCGCGCGCGAATCCGCCGTCGCCGACGCCGCCGTCACCCGAGACGGCGTCCAAAGAGCGCTCGAGCGCGAGGTCAGCGAGCTGCGCGCCGCGCTCGCAGCGGCGGAGACGATGAACGCGCGCGCCAAGGCGGCGGAGGCGGCGACGCACGCCGCGGGCGCGAAAGCCGCCAAGGCGAAGAACGACAAGCTCGCGGCGCGCGTCGCGTTGTTGACCGAGGCGCGTATTGGTTCCTCACACCGGTTCCCATACGATCCCGTTCGCGCGGTGCACGCCGTTCCTTGAGGACTTTCGCCGTCGCATCTCTCCGCCCACACCTCGCTTTCAATCCCCGACCACGACGCCTTTCAACTCCGCTTCTGACGCCTTTCAACTCCACCCCGACGTGGCTTCGCACGGAACGCGCCTCAGGAGGCGGAGGACGCCGAACGGAGGGCGTCGGACGCGTCCGCGGCGTCAGACGCGACGCGCGCGGAGCTCGCGGAGACGAAGCGCGCGATGGAGAAGATCGCGAGCGAGATGGAGACGCTGAAGAAGGCTGGCGCGGTCGCGAACGAGATGCTCGCGGACGCGAAGGGAGAGCTCGAACGCGCGCGGGAGACGTCGCGCGACGGCGAGAAGCTCGCGGCGGAGGCGGCGGCGGAGGCGGCGGCGGCGGCGAGCGCGAGCGCGACGACGATAGCCGAGCTCCGCGCCGCGCTGGAGACGACCGGGGGGTCGCGTCAGCGCGCGATGGAGGAGCTCTCGAGGCTGCGCGACGACGCGACGACGGCGAAGGAGGAGTCGGAGCGCGCGAAGAAGACGGCGGAGGAGGCGGATTTTTTGCGCGCGGCGACGGAGACCGAGCTCGCGAAGACGCGGCGAGACCTCGACGACGCGAACGCGCGCGCGTCCGCGACGGAAAGCGAGCTCGCGAAGACGCGGCGAGACCTCGACGACGCGAACGCGCGCGCGTCCGCGACGGAGAGTGAGCTCGCGAAGACGCGGCGAGACCTCGACGACGCCAACGCGTCCGCGTCCGCGTCCGCGACGACGACGCGCGACGAGGCGACGCGAGAGGCGCGAGAGAGCGCCGCGCGCGAGATGGAGGAAACGCGCGCGACGCTGACGGCGCGACACGACGCCGCGCTCGCCGCGCTCGCCGCGACGCACGCGGCGACGACGAAGGAGTTGGAGGCGCGGTTGGACGCGGCGAGGGCGGACGCGTCCGAGGCGGCGGCGAGGGCGGAAGCGTTCGAAGCCGAAGCCGCGGCGACGACGAAGGAGTTGGAGGCGCGGTTGGACGCGGCGAAGGCTGACGCTTCCGAGGCCGCGGCGAGGGCGGAAGCGTTCGAAGCCGAAGCCGCGGCGAACGCCGCCGCCGCGGTCGTCGTCGCTCCCCCCGCCGCCGCGCCGCCGCCTCCCTCCGAGGAACTCGACGCCCTCAAAGCCGCGCACGCCGCGGAGATGGCGAAGATCAACGAGGCGAACGACGAGATCGTCGCGTGGGCGCGACAAGCGGCGAAGGAAGAAGCCGAAGAAGCGCTCGGCGCCAACGCGAGAGACGCGCTCGCGAAAGCCGCGCGCGCGGAGAAGGCTCTGGAGGACGCGTCCCTGGAGCACGCGTCCCGCGTCGCGTCGTTGAAGCAGGTAACAACAGAACGTTTTTCACCCGTCCCTCGGTTTCAACATAAAGTTGATCGCGTGGGTTCCTTTCAACTGACCGATGAACGAACGGCCCGCAGACGTTCAAGGAGGCGATGGAGCGAAAGAACGAGGAACTCAAGGTGGCGCTCTCCGCCGCGCGTTCGAGCGGCGCCGACGACGTCGCGCGCGCGGAGGCCAAGGTGGCGTCCGCGACGACGGAGGCGCGCGCGAAGATCGCCGCCGCGGAGCGCGCGGCGCGAGAGGCGAAGGCGGCGACGGACGCCGCGGAGGCGAAAGCGGCGGCGACGGAGAAGGCGCGCGACGACGCCGTCGAGTGTTTGAACGTCGCGCGCGCCGAGTGCGAGGCCGAGGTGAAAGCGGCCGAGCTGAGAGCCGCGAACGTGGAGTACGACCTCGAGACGCTTCGCAACCGGTTGCGGCAGTCCGAGAACGCGGGGAAGCGCGCGCTGTTGGAGCTCTCCGACGAGCTCGCGAGCGCGGAGCGCCGCGCGATGGAGAAGGTGATGAAGGTGCGTTCTCGCGAACGTTTCGTTTTGTTTTTCACCCGTCCCTCGGTTTCAACGTTTGATCGCGTGGGTGGGTGGGTCCCTTTCAACTGACCGATGAACACGTTTTGTACCCCTCTGCCTGAAGTCGGAGGAGGCGGCGAAGAAAGCGGACGCGACCAACGCGCAGCTCGCGCGCGAGCTCTGGGCGTGCCGGCAGAAGATGGAGACGAACGAGGCGGAGCTTCGACGCGACCTCGAGCTGTCGCGGAAGCGCGCGAGCGACTTGCTCAGGGAGGTGAACGCCGCGCGCCGACGCGAAGCGATGCGAGGCGGCGGCGGCGGCGGAGACGACGCGTCCGGGGCTGGGAGGAGCGCCGCCGACGCGGACGCCGTCGTCGCGGAGATGCAACGCGAGCTCGAGGCGGAGATCGCCGCGTCCGAAGCCGCGGCGGCGGCGTCCGCGAAGCGCGAGGGCGCGTCGCGCCGCAAGCTCGCGGACGTGAACACGAAGTTAACGGAAGCGGAGCACGCGTTACACGAGACGAAGATTGCGCTCATGAAGAGCGAGCGGCGCGCGAACGACTTCGAGAGGGACCTCGAGAAGGAGACGAGCAAGAGCGCGCGGCTCGAGTTGGCGTGCGCGAAGGGCGGCGTCAAGCTGCCGAAGTAGTCGCGCGTGATAGCTATCATATCGTATTCATTCGATTCGACGACGACGACGACGTGCCGCGCGCTCACTCGTCGTCGTCGTCGTCGTCGTCGTCGTCCTCGGGCTCTGGCTTCCCCCGGCCTCTTCCTCCCCTCCCTCCTCTCCCCGGGCCCCTCCCCCCCCGCCCGCCCTTCCTCGCGCGGACTGCGCCGCGACTTTCACCACGACTCGACGCGGACTGCGCCGCGACTTTCGCCTCCTTCCTCGCGCGATTCGCCGCGGACTGCGCCGCGACTTTCGGCGCGTAGTTCGTCCCCCAGTACAACATCTCCGCCTTGACGTCCGCGTACGGCGCGCGCAACGCGTCCTCGCCGCAGAACACGAGCATGTCGCACGTGCTCGGCCACGCCTCTTTATTCTTCCGGAAGATGTCGCGCACGCGGCGTTTCACCGAGTTTCGATCCACCGCGCGCCTGAGAAGCTTCTTCGGGGCTTTGATCCCCAGACGCGTGTTGTCCACGTCCGGGACGTCCGTCGTGTCGCACCACTTGATGCGCACGAGCTTTCCGTTGAAGGAGCGTCCCGTGTTTTGCACGCGGGTGAAATCCGCTTGCGTCTTGAGTCGCTCGCGCGGGCGGAACACCTCGCCGGCGATGCTCTCCACCTGCGCGGTGCGCCGCGAGGACGGAGTGCGCCGCGTCAGATGCAATGCGCGCGGGCGTCGGGCCACACGCCGAGCGAGCGAGCGATCGAACGATCGAGCGAGAGAGAGAGCAGAGAAGAGAAAGGAAGAAAATCGAGTCGTCGTCGTCGTCGTCGTCGTCGTCGTCGTCGTCTTTTCCGTCACGCAGACCTCGGCGCCAACCGAGGGAAACTGTTTCTTTCGACACGAGGGCGTCCCCCATGGAACCAAATAGTTTCAGGCTGGTGCCAGTATTGGTTCATCACTCGGAAAAGCGACGCGACGCGACGGACGGACGGACGGACGACCGACCGCGGGCGAGGGAGGACGGCGGCGGCGGGCGGCAAATCGAATCGAATCGCTCGAATCGCACTCGGCGCACCTTTTCCCTCGCGCGCTTCTCCCGCGCCCTCCTCTGTCCCTCCTTCACGCTCGCCTTGTGCGCTTCCTTGCGCCGCGCGTCGCTCCACGCGATGTCGCCGAGGTACGCGAGCGGGTCCGCCGCGTCGTCGTCGTCGTCCCACGACGTCGGCGCGGACGCGGACGTCGCCTTCGGGCAGTCCCTCGCGAGGTGCCCGGGCGCGTGACATCGGAAGCACGCGCGCGTCTCCGTCGTCGTCGGCGACGACGACGACGACGACCAGCGGGGCGCGCTCGACCGCGCGACCGCGCGCGTCGTCGTCGTCGACGACGACGTCGCGAGCGCGTCGCGCCGAGCGGCGCGCGGCGCCGCGCGCGCGGTCGCGCGGCGGTGCGACGTCGTCAGCGTCGAGAACGCGGCCGCGCGCGCGTTCGCCGCCGCCGACGACGCGATGATTAGTGGGGGACGTCGAATCATCGTCGTCAACGCGAACGACGACGACGAGGACTCGAGAGCGCGAGCCGCCGCGGCGAGCGCCGCGGAGGCGAGCGCGCGTCTCGTCTGGATGTTGCCCCGCGCGCGACTGGGGTGCCGCGACGAGCTTCCGGTCGCTGCGGCGGTGCGCGGGCTCCGTGTGATGACCTAGAGTTGCGAATTTTCCTCGGTTCGTCCAGTCGTCCGCGTCCGCCGACCGCGCGACCGCGCCGGTGCCGAGTACAGGTAGTGATGTTTGTCGAGAGCTCGGGAAAAGGGCGCGCGATCGGCGCCGCCGTCGCACACGCGCGAGCGGTGGCTCGACGCGAGCGCGCGGGCTCGCATCGGACACCCGCGGGACGCGTTCGGCGATCGGAGGGGGATCCCTCGGGGGAGGATACCCCCGGGGGAGGCACCCGCTGGGGCGGGGCGAGACGTCACAAATTCAAATCTGAGCGAGCCGAGAAGTCGTCGTCGCTTTCCGCGCGCGTCGTCCATCGTCTGGGCCGAGCGGAGCTGGCTCGGGAGCACGGCACCATGACGCGTCCCGGCGCGCGCGGCGGCGACGGCGACCCTCCGACGCCGTCCACGCGCTACGCCGGCGTCGTCGACCCCGCGTACGCGTCGTCCGACGACGACGACGACGCGTTCACGCCGCCCCTCCGCCCGCCGTTCGTCGCGTCCGACGGATCGCCGTCGACGTCCGCCTCGCCGACGCGGCCGCCGCGCGAGGTCGTCGCGCGGCGCTCCGTCGCGTGGGACGCGGACCTGGAGCGGTACGAGCCCGTGGAGTCGTCCTCCGCGCCGCCGCCGCCGCCGATCCTGAAGCCGTCGCGCGGCGGATGCGGCGGCGTCCTCGACGCGCTGTCGCCGCGGAAGCGACGCGAGCGACGCGAGGCGCGCGAGCGCGACGAGACGCGACGCCGCGACGCGTCCGCCGCGTCGGACGCGGCGACGCGCGCGGCCGTCGACGCCGCCGCGCGGTTCGACGAGAACGTCCCGCTGCCGGGCGAGGCGTTGCGGGGCGACGAGGAGGAGTTCTACGGCGGCGGAGCGGGGGGCGACGAGGAGGAGGAGGACGACAGCTGGCGTCGCGGCGTCGTCGGCGTCGGCGGGCGCGTCCGCGCGACGGCGACGACGACGTCCGCGCCGACGGCTTCGATCGACGCGTCGCGCCGAGTCGCGGAGGAGGACGCGCTCGCGGCGCTGCGCGCGGCGTACGCCGCGGAGGAGGACGACCGACCGTCCACGAGCGCGGCGGCGCGATTCTTCGCCGCGGACGTCGGCGACGGCGACGCGACGCGTTTCGAATCCTACCCGGGGATGGCGAAGTCCACCGTGGACGCGATATTATACGGCAACGCGCTCGCGGGCGGCGAAGAGGAAGACGCCGAGGAGGAAGGCGCCGGAAGAAGAGTAGACGCGACGCGCGCGCGCGACGCGCGACGCGAAGAGCGGCGCCGGCGCCGCGAGCGCGAGCGCGAGGAAAACGCTGAGGAAGACGCCGGCGGCGGCCGAAAACCGCCGAACGACGACGCCGTCGTCGCGCCGTTCACCGTCGCCGTCGCGGACGCGGAGCTCAGCGCCGGCGCGCGCCCGGGGATCGCGCTCGAGATCGGCGACGACGTCGCGAGGATGAAGCACGCGCTGGAGAACGTCGGCGCGGCGCGAGAGGCGCACCTCGCGGAGATGCGATCGTTTTTATCGCGCGACGGCGGCGACCGCGGCGGCGGCGGCGGCGGCGGACGCGTGACCCTCGCGCCCGGCGCGACCTCGATCCTCCCCCCGGGGAGCCCGTCCGCGTCCGTCGCGGAAGAGGCCGCGGAGGCGACCGCGCGCATCGCGATGAACGCCGCGCGCGTCGAGGAGACGGCGACGTACGCGAACCGGTTGGTCGCGGCGGCGATCGAGCCGTCGCCGCCGCCGGCGGATTGGCGCGCGACGATGCAGCCGCAGTGGGCGTCCGAGGACGAGTGGACGTCCCCGCCGCCGACGCCGACGCCGATCCCGATCCCGATCCCGTCGCCGAAGATCGCCGTGGCGTCGTCGCCGCGGTCGTCCGCGGCGTTGGAGGCTGCCGCGAGCGCGGCGAGCGGCGCGACGCGACGCGCGACGGCGGACGCCGCGGCGGACGGCGACGAAGAGATGCTCGAGGTGTTGCGCGTTCTCGAGGGCGTGACGACGACCGCGAGCGAGATCGCGCGCGGCGGCGGCGGCGGCGCCAGACCCCGCGCGCGGGCCGCGCTGACGTTCGATTGGAATTGGAACGCGGACGCCGCGGACGCCGCGGACGCCGCGGACGACGGGATCGATCGCGCGCCGAGAGGGGACCTCGCCGTCGCGATGGGTTTGCCGCGATTCGATCCGACGCGGAGAAGAGAGGTCACATTCGGCCCGTCGTCGCGTCCGTCCGCGGCCGCCGCGCGCCGCGCGTGGGAGCCGCCGCGCGTGGGGTTCGGCAGCGCGACGACGCGCGAGGGCGAGCCCAGACGTGCGGGGAGGGGCGGGGACGCCGCGCGAGCGGTAGGCGGCGCCGTGCGTTGGCGCGGCGGCCCGCCGGAGCCAACGTCGGCGCCAGAGGCGTCGCGCGCGTCGGCGTCGGCGTCGGCGTCGACGTCGCCGCGCGCGAAAGAGAAAAGGAAGGAAGACTACTCGCACGTCGGGAGTAAGCTCAAGGAGCAGTGGGAGGCGTGGCGCGCGGGCACGGACGAGGGCGTCGCGGAGGAGAAGCGACGCGCGGAGAAGATAAAACTCCGCGCGGGGCTTCGAGGGGTGCTCGTCGATATTCACGCCGCGACGACGGCGATGGAGGCGGCGACGGCGGCGGAGTCGCCCACGGTGACGCATTCGTCCGAGGAGAGCGTCTCCGAGGGGGACGACGCCCCGAAGCGGCGGCGAGCCGCGTTGGCCGTCATCGAGAAGAACGCGCCGCCGCCCGCGTCGGTCGAGACGGCGACGGACGAGGAGGCGAGACGACGGGAAGAGAAGAAGAAACTGCGCGCGGGGCTCGTGGACATGCTCGCCGACTTGCAGCGCGCGCGCGTGGACACCGCGGCGGGGACGTCCGATGACGTGTCTCCCGCGACGAAACGCCGCGAAGAGAAGCGGAAACTGCGAGAGAGCCTGGAAGACATGCTGTCGGACGTGCGCCGCGCGAAGGAACCGCCGTCGCCGCCGCTCCCGTCGCCGCCGGCGGCGCTCCCGGCGTCGCTTCCGGTCGCCCCCGCGGCGACGCTTCCCGCCGCGACGCCGACGCCGCTCGTCGTCGCGCGCGGCACGCGCGCGCGAAGCGCCGTCGCCGTCTCCGACGCCGCCGTCGGCACCGTATCGTCGTCGCACGCGGCCGCGCAAACGTCCACGGCGGCGGCGGTGGAACTCGACGACGACGACGACGACGACGACGACGACGACGACGGCTCCGTCGCGTCCGACCGCGACGATCTCCTCATGACGACCGCGGGGGCGTACCAAGTCTTAGGGTACACCGAACGCGGAGATCTCACGGAAGAGACCGGGACGCAGACGCTGTCGGCGCCGCCGCCGCCCGCGGACGAAGCGAAAGAGGAGGAGGCGAGGTTCGAACGCGAAGCCGCGGCGATCGCGCGCGAGCTCGTGTCCGGCGCCGCGCGCGCCGCCGACGCCGACGACGCGTCGCCGTCGCCATCGTGGCTTCGCCTGCAGCTCCGAGCCGTGCGCGTGCTCGCGCGCGCGCGCGAGGAGACGCACCGCGAGCGCGTCGCGGCGATGTGCGAGCGTTTCCGCGACGCGGACGCGCGGCTGCGGGAGCAGGCGCGTTCTATACACTGGTCCCCATACGACCGCGTCGGCGATGTGAACGCCGATCCTTAAGGACTTTGCCGTCGTCTCTCTCCGCCCACCCCTCGCTTTCAATGCCCGCCCTCGACGCCTTTCAACTCCCTCTGACGCCTTTCAACTCCACCCCGACGTTCGCTCAGGAGTACCTCTTGTCTTTCTCCGCCGCGTCGCGGGATATCCGCCGCGCGAGAGCGACGGAGGCGAAGCGCGATAAGGCGGCGGCGCGCGGGAAGAAGTGGGCGCCGCCCGGGGGAGGCAAGGCTGCGTTCGCCGGCGGCGGCCGCGGCGGGAAGAGCCACAGCGTGCACGTCTCGAGAGGCGCGGGGCCCGATGCGGCGACCTGGGAGGCGGCGACGAAACCGGCGGCGGCGGGGAGAGGAAAAAGTAAAATCGCCCCCGGGAGCGCCGGCGCTCGCGGTCGCGACGGTCCGAACCTCGCGGACGACCCGTGGGAAGGCTCGGAGTTTAAGCGTCAGATGCTGATCACGCTGTCGAGTAAGCTTCTGATGAAGACCGCGCTCACGGCGTTCGCGGCCGCCGCGCAGGGCGCGCGGGATGTGCGGACGAACGTCCGAAGGGTGTGGGTGAAGAACCGCGCGAAGCTTTTGGTCGCGTGCCTCGACGCGTTGAAAGAAAACGCGCGCATCGCTGCCGTTTTCGAATCCAAAGCCTCCACCGTCGCGGCAGAACGCCTGAGAAAACACGCGAGAGCTGGGCTCAAGCGCTGGCGATTCATCGCGGGCAGGGACGCGGAAGAGAAGAAGCGAAACGCGCTCGCGGACGCGGCGTACGGTCGCAGAGCCGCGGGCGCGGCGTTTTCGCAGTGGCGCGCCGCGCGCGTCGCGACCGACATCGACGCGCACGTAACGTCCCTCGCGCGTACGTTTCGCGACAAACGCCTCGCCGTCGCGGCTCTCCACGCGTGGGCGATGCAGACGAAATCGGAAGACGTCTATTACGCGCGCGCGAGCGAGAACTACGCGTTCGCGAGGGCGCGCGCGTTCAAAGACTCCTTCCTCGCCGGTCGCCGCGCGCGCGCGTGGCAAATCAACGAGATGCCCGATCGAGCCGCGCGCGACGCCGCGATGGACGCATTCGTCGACGCTTACCGCGCGTGGTCGCGGTCGCGAGGGGCGCTTCAGGCGTGGATCATCGCGTGGCGCGCGACGAAGGACGCGCGCGGCGCGACGACGCGCGGCGCGGACGCCATCGCGCGCGTCGTCGCCGAGTGCGACGGCAGCCGACGAAGAGCCGCCGCGCGCGACGCGTCGGCGACGCTCCGAGCGCTTCTGTCGCGGCGGCGGTACGTCGCCTCGGACGCGGACGTTCGGTGGGTCTCGCTCGCGATCGCGCACATGCGGCGCGCGCGCGAGGAGGAGACGAACGAGACGGCGTGGGAACGCGCGCGCGAGACGGAGACGGAGACGACGCGCGCGAACGACGATCGCGACGACGCCGCCGCCGCGGACGCCGCCGCGTGGTCGAAGAAGTGGTGGTCGAGCACGCGCCCGCCCCGGGACCCGGACGCCGCGCCGGCGACGAAGACGCAGCGCGACGCCGCGGCGGCGAAGGTGTTCGACGACCCGGGGGTGCCGGACGACGACGACGGCGACGGCGACGACGCGACGGAGAGGGGAACGAAGAGCGCGAACGAAGAAGAAGACGCGGCGCGAATCGACGTCGACGCGTCCGTCGTCGCGACGGACGCCGTCGTCGTCGCCGCCGACGCGCTCGCGCACACCGCGTCGTCCGCGTCCGTCGCGCACGCGGCGGCCGTCTCCGAGCGTCGCGTCGCCGCGGACGCCGCGCGACGCCGCGCCGCGGACGTCGCCGCGGAGACCGCGCAGACCAAGCTCGTCATCGCGCGCGAACGCGCGGAGATGGAGGCGTGGACCGTCGCCGGCGGCGACGCCGCGGTGTTTTCCGCGCTCGACGCCGAGTCGAGATGGGTCGCGTCGGACGCGGCGGGCGCGTCGTCGTCGTCCGCCGCGGCCGCCGCCGCGAGAGAAGCCGAGGCGAACGCGAAAGACGCGGACGCGGACGCGTCGACGGCCGCGAACCTCGCGTCCGTCGCGACGGACATCGCGTCGTTCGCGAGGGACGCGGCGAAGGCGACGGCGACGGCGGCGGCGGCGGCGGCGGCGGCGGCGCGGACGGCGGCGGCGGCGGACGCGGCGGCGCGTCTTTCGCGCGCGAGCGTGAACGCGTCGCGCGAGGTCGTCGCGGAGGCGGCGGCGGAGGCGGCGGCGAACGACGACGACGACGACGACGCGTCGGCGTCGGCGTCGATCGCGAAGCTTCGAGAGCGATGCGAGCGCGCGGAACGCGACGCGACGGACGATGCCGCGGCGCTCGCGGCGGCCGCGGAGGCGTCCGCCGCTTTCAACGCCGCCTCGGACCGCGCGTCCGCTCGCCACGACGTCGTCCGCGTCGCGATCGACGCGCTCGAGACCGCGCGCGCCGCGGTCAAGGCGTCCGCCGCGTGGCGCGACGACGCGACGCGACGCGTCGCGAACGCCGACGCGGAGGCGGCGGCGGCCGTCGCGGAGGCGGCGGGCGCGGAGGCGCGAGAGGCGTTTTGGTCCGAAAAGTACCGCGACGCCGTCGTCGACGCGGAGGACGCTAAAAACGAT